TATATATATATATAGTATTTTATCTTTCTGCTTGGGCTGCTATGACAGAATACCAGGGATTGGATGGCTGAAGAAAAGTTCATTTTCTTACAATTCCGAAGGCTGGAAATCTGAGATCAAGCTGGGTTGGTTTCTGGTGAGGTTTCTTGTCTGACTTGCAGATCCTCCACTTTTTCGATATGTCTTCATGTGACCTTTACTCTGTGCAAAGAAATTGACAGTCTTGGTATTTCTTCCTCTTCCTATAAGGACACTAGTCCTCTTGGATTAGGGCCTTACCCTATGGCCACATTTAACTTTAATTATCTCTTTAGAGGCCCTACTCCAATTATAGTCACAGGGAGAATTCTGGGTGGTGATGGGGAGGGCATGACTCAGTTCATAAAATATGTTAGTTGAAATTACTCCTCTGTTGATGATATTGAAGAAAAGCTGCCTCCAGGAAGTCACAAAGGGTTCTTTTAGTAAACACTGCCCTCTAAAGTTGTTTCCAAATTTCTGGTTAACGCAATTCTAAACCAAGAAAACATTTAAGAAATACTGCCTCCTGGCCAGACTGTAGAAGTGTAGGTGTAGGGTGCCGCTCTGCAATGCTGGGACCACGTGGAAGACCACAGTTCAGATCCCAGGTAGATTGAAATCACACTGGATATGTCCATGAACATGGCTGGCTTCAACTACCAGGGGAAACATAGTATAATGAGACCCTGTGAAAGGTGGGTTTTTTTTTTTCCTCTCTCTCTAAAGAAATAAAATATAAAATAAACTTCAAAAAAGAAAGAAACATTGCCTCCTGCTAGTACTAAAATATTTCAACTTTATCAGGAAAATTTCACAATAGTCAGGAAAATCTGATTGTGGAAAACAAAACAAAACAAAGAGCTTGATTGCATTTCTTAGAATAAAGTTGCTAACATATGTGGTGTCTTTTTTTTTCTTTAAGTTTGTTATTTATGAGAGAGACAAAGAGATGGAGATTCTGACCCCAACAGAATCTTGACATTGAAATCCACTCCCCGTCTCAGCCAGCTCTGATCATGAGCACACATATTATGGGCATAACTCGGAGATTTCCAGGAGCAAACATGAGACCTTCCCATGTGGGTCAGCTGTGCAGAGCATCACATTTGACAGTGCTGCCACCATCCAGCCCCTGGCATTTTTGTTTTTAAAAGCAAAAATCCCACTTTGAAAGATCAGTTTATTTCATACTTTAATCTGTTTACTACGCCTGAAACAAATACTAGTTTGTTGGTGCAATATGAAACCATAGTGTTAACATTTCTTAATATACGGTCATACATTTTTTAATGATGGGATATGATCTGAGTAATGTGTTGTCAGGTGATTTTGTCATTGTGTGAATATTGTAGAGTGTACTTTAACAAATCTAGATGGTATGGCCTACTATACACCTAAGCTATTGTATAGCCTGTGTGCCCCTAGACCGTGTGCTCACTCTTGGGACCACTGTCATTAACCAAACCACCACTATGCAGTACGTGACTGTAGTTATTTGGTAATGTTTGCTAGAGAATAGAAATCTCTCTCTTTCTCTCTCTTCCTTCCTTCTTTCCTACCCCCTTTCCTCCTTCCTTCCTTCCTTTTTATCTTTTTTTCTTCTTCTCTCCCTCCCTTTATTTCTCTCTCTTCTTCTTCTCCCTCCCTCTCTCTCTTTGTTTTTTAATTGCCAGAGGGTACATGTACTTGCCAAAGGAAAAAAGATGGAGAAAGCACCTCCCCAATGGGGGATTGGGGCACGATCCCTTTTCCTCCACTTCTCTATCCTGTCAGGACGTGGGGCACACAGGCACGCACTGGCAGTGTGTTTTATTTTCTTTTTAAATATTTATTGTAATTTATATTTGACACATAATTGTTACACATCTTTGTAGGGTACAGAATGGTCTTTAAAAGCATGTATATGGTGTATAATAAATTGAGGGTATAAGATACACCTTCAACATTTAATTTTATGTTGCGAACATTTGAAACCCCCTCCAATGGTTGTTCTGCATGTACGTACTGCATTGTCCATGATGTTCTT